ATCGTAAGAAGCAAAAGAAGAAGACGGGCTGATGGGTGCGCGGCTCGTCGGGGCGGAGGTCCAGGTGCAGCATCACCAGTGACCGTGATCCGGGCAGCCGGCCGGCGCGTGCCGCACACTCCCGGCTGCAGCTCCCGCCGCCGCCCAGCGCCCGGCTCGCAGCGCGGCCCCGCCTATCCCCTGGGGCGTCCCAACGATTGGTCCGTCCTCCTGCCAGTCAGAGAGGAGGGCACAGTGTTCGCCCCACCCCCGCCCAGGGCCGACGCCGGGAGCAGTTCTGCGGAGGGGAGAGGAGGCGCTGCGAGGCCTGAGCGTGCGCACTGGGCCCCGCGGCTTGCGCGGGGGTGGGGCCGGGGTCCCACAGCAGAGCGCCCCCTGCTGAGCCGGTTCTTGAGCCCGCTGTGTCGGAGCTGCTACTGGGAGGGGCCTTAGGCTTCAGTTAGAGCTAAAGGTCCCAGAAGTTTGTCCCTACCCTCAGAGGGCTCACATCCAGTTTTGTGTTGTTTTGTGTTTGTGTGGGTTTGGGAGGTTTTCTTGGAGGGGATGTATATACAACCTGAGACTGTGGCCATCCTAGGCAATTGATGGTTAGGGGAGACACAATGTCCACAGGTACTACATTGTCCCCGTTTGTACAGAAACCTGGGTCAGAGGTTAAAGGAAGATGCTGAAGGTGACACAGTTAGCAAGTGGCGGAGCGGGGACTCGTACTCCTGAGCCCATGGTCGGCAAAGCCACATCACCAAACGACAGTGGAATGAACAATGCGATGTCCAGCTGAGGCTTGAAGGAAGGGTAGCATTTAGCTAGGCAAAGATTCATTAATTCAGTTTCCTTCCGTTTATTGAACACCTATTTCTGCCAGGTAGCCACTAAGATCTAGTGAACAACAGAGAGAGCTGCTGCCTTCCTGGAACTTACGTACATTCTAGCAAAGAGACGGGAGAGATGAGCATCCACATAAAGCATTCACATAAGCAGAAGCCAACACCTTGATAGAGGAAAACGGCATTTTGAGAATCTAAAAACAAGCAGGCGTCTCTGGGCCAGAGAGGTGAGGAGGAGAGCAGCCAAAGATGTCAATGGGGAGGTGGGCAGAGGTCGGCGCGTCTTGCCCAAATTCTTATGGGAAAGAATTTGTTGTTTATCCTGAAGACGTTTCATGAGAGAAGGTGGACCACTGTCAGATTTATGTACTTAAAAATGTACTGGTCAGGATAAGCTATGTTAAGCACCAGTAACAAACAAACCCAAATCTCGCTGTCTTCTTTCTAACTCACATTACACATCCCACCTGGTCCAGCAGAGGGCTCTGCTTATCCTAGTCTCTCTCAACTGTGTACCCATGGTGCTTTGGGCAGGTTGAAGGAAAGGTAGCAAATGGTACTGGCTTTTAAAGCTTCCTCTTGGAAGAGACTCATCATTTTCCCTTAAGGTTCATTGGCCAAAGCAGGTCACATGGGAACCCCTGTCTTCCTGGAAATAAAAAGAAAAATTAAGGATGGCACATTGTTGCCTGTAACAAAATCAGGGTTCTGTTAGTGAACAAGAGGGGAGAATGGAAATTGAACAGGCAACTAGCAGGGATAGACCCAGGTTTCATAGGAACTGAAGCTCCTACAGTTTGGAGGCCTTCTTTAAGAAAAACAATTAAGGGGAAAAAAATTACAAATACAAAATTAGGTACAAAAGTGAATATTTAGAATAAAAAAATTGAATGTTTCAAATTGACAGACATCACAAACATAACAAAATCCAGAAAAATAATAATTTTTTAAATTAACTACCTAACATCCACCTTTATAACATCTCCCTCTACTTTTTTTTTTCTCCTTCTTCTTCTTCATCTTTTTGGATTGTCTCTTCATAGGACAATGATTTTGTAATATTTTTTCTACTGAGAAAACATAATTCAGAGTACTCCTCCAATGATGGAATTTTTTTCCATGTTGGTTAGAACGCTTTCTTTCAGCCTCATAATTCTTTATTGGTAGTCATGTACGTTTGTTGACAAATTTCAGGAAACCTCCATGATAACCTTCTTTCATAAATGAACACTAAGCTTTAGAAGAATTACTTCCCCACCCCCCAGTTTCCTTATTGTGATTGTATTGATTTTCACCATAAAAGGACTTGTACGGATTAGAACCAGATGACTTGGCCAGCGCTTCCTAAATAATGTTGGTGCCCCTCGCAGGCACGTGAGGAAGCGTGTGGAAAATGCAGATGCCCCGGCTCCTCACACCCCACTAAAGTGAAGCCTCTGAGTAGCAGGGCCCAGGAATCGGTATTTTACTGCATGCCTCAGGCGATTCTGCTGTTAGCTGAAGCCTGAGAGGCCCTGGACTAGGGGTTTCCAGTTTGCCTTGTGAGTCTGAAGGTCTGCAAATCCAGGTCTCCCTGTTGGGAAAAATCAGCCTATAAACCTCGTGTCTCCTCCTCTGAAATACTCCGGCACCAGGCGCCCTAGCGCATGTTCCCACCCAGTGCCCCTGGGATGGTACAGTGTGTGTGGGGGGGGGACACTCCTGGGAGCCATGATGCCTGCCCAGGGAGCAATAACTTGACCTACACAGGTTGACTGAGAACCTATAAACATCTACTACATATTAAACTCAAATTAAGGCATCCTTGACTCAACTTCCCTTCAGCTGCATCCCCAAAATGCCCTCGGCCACCCCAACACCTCCCAATATGAGATGAGAGGACGTGTGATAACAGGAAGTCAGAGGGAAAGGAACAGCGGGTGTTATGGGCTAATTATGTCCCCTCAAAATTCATATGTTGAAGTCCTAACCCTCAGTACCTCAGAATGTGACTATCTCTGGAGATACACTTTTTAAAAAGGTAATTAAGGCAAGATGACGTCGTATAGGTGGGTCCTGACCCAATATGACTGGTATCCTTATAAGAAGAAGACATTAGGACACAGATACACACAGAAGGACGACAGTGTGAGGACACAGAGAGAAGACAGCCATCTACCAGCCAAGGAGAGAGGCCTCAGGAGGAACCAGCCCTGCCCTCACCTGGTTCTCAGACCTCCAGCCTCCAGAACTGTGAGACAGATAGCTTCTGTGGCGAGCGGTCTGTGGTACTCTGTTACGGCAGCCCAAGCAAACGCATACAACTCAGTCCACCGAGACACCAATGGGCATCTACTGCGTGCTGGTGCTGGGCCTGGGCACCAGGAACATGGCCTGGAACAACTGTCTCTGCCCTCAAGAGTTCATGGGCAGTGGGGGAGACAGATCATTATGATGGGGTAGCCGGGGGCAGGAGGCGTGGCGTGTAGGGGAAGGAACTTTTAGAGCTGCCTAAATGAGTCAGGGGGGCTTCCGGGAGGAGGAAACACTTGAGCTGAGGTTAGACAAGGAGGGCGGAAGCAAGCCTTCAGGGCAAAGGGAACACCTGTGCGGAGGGACCACGGAAGCATGAAGACCAGGATATGGGTTTCTGGACTGCTGCCCCCTGGAGGGCACGCAAGGTTAAGTGGCTGAAGACTACACTGGGACTTGTGGTAATGGAGGAATTTGGACCCGGGCATGACCCCACTGACCCCAGCATGTGCACGGAGGCTGGGTGGGAAGTGGAGGCAAAAGCCTGTTGAGCAGTGGAGATGAGACAGGTTGATGGCCAGAACCAGGGCAGTTTGAGCCATGGTCCCAGAAGGCCAGGTCAGGCCCCTCTAAGTGGCATCCCTACCCCTGACTAGGGGGGTTGCAACTGATCCAACTTGTAAAACTTGCCTTCTGGGTGGTGGGCTGTGCTGAGGGGCGGATAGGAATAATAACAAGCGTGAACATTGGTCAGGCTTGCTCTGAGCAGACACCAATGTCAGCACTCTGAGTATATTTAATCTGCACAACAGCCTTAGGTAGAGAGAGGTTAGGTAATTCGCCCAAGATCACANAGAAAAGGAAAGGGGGCTGGCCCAAAGGCAAGAAAAGGAAACCCCCGAGGCATCTTTCTGTTCCCCGTGCTCCTACCACAGGGTAAGATGGCGGGGGGGCGGTTACCTGACCCCATGTTAAGGTGACGTTTGGGGCTCACCATCTCAGCCTTTATGTGTTTTTCAGGGTCCTTGATAATGAAGGGACCTCACACCACAGGGAGTGAGGGTGGGTTTTTTAGTTCTTTAAGCTGGAATAAAGTTTTGATGCTCAAAGGAGAGGCCAGAAAAGCTGGGCTTGGGTCACAGACAGGAGAGGGGGTGGCTTTGGGGTCAGCAATCTGGTTTCCCTTCCAGGCTCTCAGATATGGGTGCTCTGGGGCCTCAGGTAAGATGGTTAACCTTTTTCAAGGCTCAAAGCTGCCTCCCAGTGCCCCGAGTCCTTGTCCCTCATCCCTGGTGTCTTGGGCTAAAGAAAAGAGGTCCTATGCCACTCAGTCCCCCTGCTCTGAAGGTCACCTTGCTCCTCTGGAAGGCTCCACGTTTTTCTCTTCATCCTCGGGGCCCACACACTTCTAAGAGTGAGGGTCTTTTCTCAAACTCCCGTAACCCCTGTGGACAGGACTTTTGGTTCGAGAGCTGGTTTGTCGCACTCCAGTGCCCACAGCCTTTCCCCCTCTCCCTGACACCAGTCCTTTTGATCAGGAGGGGTAGGACCTGTGCATGGAGCATGTAGGCCACACAGTAACCCTGTGAGCAGGTGGCATTTTGCCCATTATACAGAGGGGAAACTGAGGCACAGACCAGGTAAATGACTTTCCCACCCAGCAGCCTTCATGAGCCTCATGCCCCTCCCACAGGAAGCCCCCCTTCTGGCTCCTTGTCTTACATCAATCTCTGGATAAACAGCCATTCGATCATTTCCCCCTCTTAAGTTAACCTCCATTTCACTGGTTAGATTGAAAAAATATGGGCAGTGTTTTCATAATAATAACACACCAGTTATTATTATGTGTATTATTATGAAAACCAGAAGGTAGAACTGGCCGCACTCCCCCCACCAGCCGGTAGCTCAGAGCTGTGGTGTTTGTTCTATTCCCGGCACAGGTACGTCATATTCCTAAACGAACAGAGAAGCCAGCTGAGGGCCAGGCACCCGGATCTGCCTTTTACAGAAATCACAAAGATGTTGGCTGCTCAGTGGGCTCAGCTGTCCCAGAAGAAAAAGCAAGTGAGTCCTTTTCTGTGTAGAATGAGGAGAAGGCGCCCGGCTGTCTGCAGCCTTGGTTAGGGGCTGTTCCCTCCTAGCCCATCTTTCCTCACTGGAGCCAGAGGGAACTTTCTGGAATGCAAGCCTCTCACCCCACCCCTTAAAAGCAGTCCCTGGTTCTCCGTTGCTTTTGGCATCCACCCTCTCCCTAAGTGTGTTAGGCAGAATGGCTCATCCATGAAACATGGGCACGTTGTCAAATAAGTTTAGGAAATTCTAGAGTAAATCAAGCGAAATAGATTTTCCCCTCTGTGGGAATTTTTTGGGAGCATTTAATATAATCCTATTACCTTAAAATAAATTTTAGTTGGGGCCCATGCTCTCCTGGAGTGAGGTGTGGGGGTATGAGAATCTCTGAGGGTCATCGCTAGTGTGAGGCATTTCTCAAACTAATTCCACCATGGAACCCCTTTTCACAAGAGCACCTGTTACCCTCCTACAGGAGTATGTTCTGGGGGTCACACAGGAGGAAACACTGACTTATGGGATACAGTCAGAGCCCTCTGAGCACACATACCTCTCCAGTGTCAACTTCTGCCTTCTCCCCACGCTGTACGTTTCAGCCACACTGACCAAGCTAGGCCCACCCTAATGTCACCTCCTACAAGAAGCCCTCCCATACCCCTTCTAAGTGTGTCCGACCTCAAAGCCCATACAGCCTCCTGCCTGCAGAGACCATCCTAGATTGTCCCAAGCAGGTGGAACAAGTGGACACCCCAGCCCTCCAGATCAGGAGAGTCTCAGAATCTCTGTGCTCCTTCCAGAGGTATATTTATGAGGCAGATGAAGACAAGCAACGTTACATCCGCGAGCTGCAGGCCTACCAGAGCTCCGAGGCTTACCGAGCCTTCCTGCAGAGGCAGGCAGCACAGAAGACGCGAGCGCAGTGCGGTGAGTGGGGCCTGGCCCGGGGGGCGGCTACCTCTCCCACCAGGCCTGGCCTGTGCAATGTTTTAACACAGAAGGCGTGTTGGAAAGCCCTCTGTGTTAGCCCCAGCCTCAGTCGGCGTTCACATCCTTATATACATGTTTTAGATATTAACCCCTTATCAGATATATGGCTGCAAATATTTTTCTCCCATTCCGTAGGTTGCCATTTCATTCTGTTGATTGTTTGCTGTTCAGAACCTTTTTAGTTTGATATAGTCCCACTTGTGTATTTTTCTTTTGTTGCCTATATTTTTGGTGTCATCTCCAAAAATATCATTGCTAAGACCAGCATCTAGGAGCTTTTCTCCTATGTTTTCTTTTAAGAGTTTTATGGTTTCAGGCCTTACATTGAAGTCTTGAATCCATTTCAAGTTCATTCTTGTGTATGGTAAAAGGGTCCAATTTCATTCTTTTGTATGTGGCTGTTTTCCCAGCACCATTTACTAAAGAGTCTGTCCTTTTCCCGTTGTGTATTGAAATTTGCTAAGAGAGTAGATCTTAAGCGTCCTCACCGCACACAAAAAAAGGTAACTGTGTGAAATGATGAATGTGTAATTAATTTGATTGTGGTGATCATTTCACAGCGTGTATCCAATAATCACCGGGTTCACTTAGTGTCAATGTTTGTCTTGCTGAATGTTGGACCATTGGGGATGGGGCAAGACCATAACCTTAGATGGCAGTCAAGGCTGAATTTTTAGAATTTATTTATTTAAAAGAAAAGGTGAGCAAATGGGAGGCAGTTAGATCCTATTATGTCTTCATTAATTATATTCTGATCACTTCTAGTCTTTGACCTGTCATGATCTGAGTCTTTTCTGTTTGTCTTAATGTTTTTTGTTTTTGTTTTTTGCATCTAGTATAACATTTACAAACTAGGACCAAGAACAATAGTATTAAAGCAGTAACACTGATTAGGAACAGAAATGTCCAATATTAGACAAATATGAGTTTGAGGGAAACAAACATCCTAGCCAATCAAAGATCCTTTACATGCATTGTCATAATTTTTTATTAAGCTAATAATATGTTTTCCTCCCTTGTCTGCTGCTGTTTGTACCTTATGATAAGTTTGGCCAGGTGAATGAAGATTCTCTATTATTTCGTGATCTAGAAGTTCTAATTTTTTTTCTGGCCAATGAGTTTCCATAGAAATGACTTCATGGGGAGGATTCAGTTCAATTTCCCATTATACTGGATTTTCAGTATCAATATTATCATGGGTTTCATTAACCTCAGGCAAAGTTAATTTGCTTGTGATTTCAGTATTGCAACCATATTCCTGTAGCATTTACTATACACCTGGTGTCATTACAATAGAATTCTGTTAGTATGACAGACTCCTCTAACCCTTCCCAACAAAAACGTCCCCTTCGCATACACCATATATTATTGTTTGTTGGGGTGGATACGATAGGCCAGGTTTGGGTGAATTCAGAATTCCATACAGATTGGGGCCAGAACCATCACCGTTATGATTTTCACCATCAGATAATGAGATGGGTTCCTGTTCTTTATTATTATTTAATATGGCCTATCTACTTCCCATTGGAAGTCTTCTGGTATTACTAAGGATGGTCCCTATGCCAGCCAGTTGAACTGCTGAAAATCTTAGCTTAGGATTTAACTGAGGTGCTTGGGTTTTTAAGATACAATGTCATAGATCACATTTTCCATCTAAATTTTTTTAAGTCCAGGGGCACCATTGGAGTCCCATAAGCGTCTGGCCTGGCCTGGGCTTCTGCACCCATTCCAGTCGGCCATTGTTTCATCGCTACTTCGGATTCCATTGGGATTAGCACAGGGGATAGGCCTTGCTGAGTCAGGGTGCAGGCANCTAGGGTTCAATTCCTAATGAAGAAGGGCAGAATGGATACCAGGGAGATGACTGGCAGGGTGTGCCACACCCACATAGAAGTGTGTAATGAGCTTAACGCGGGACGTTTTCTCCTTTTAGATCCACAGCTGATTCCAAGTCATGGTAGCGCTTGCCTTCGTATAGGTCTTCCCCAAGTGACCTTCCCAACAAGCCAGTCCCACTTACCAGGTGGAGGTGGATTCAGAAATGTCTAATGACGAAGGAAGCTAGTGCGGCAGGATTAGAATGAGAGAGGGCTGACCTTGGTAACAATAACAGCCACTCTAAGGGCTTCCAGGGTCTCAGTGCCTGTCCCAGCTCACTCAGCCCCTACAGCCAGTGGGGTAGGAGCCGGTATCTCCGTTGCAGAGGAGGACATGGAGGCACAAAGCGGTGAGGTAATGTGCTCCAGGTTCCACAGCCAGACAGTGTTACCCCTCAATATATGCTTTACCCATCACTCCCTGCTGTCACTCACAATCATAAACTCTCCCTTTGACATCTAGTCTGCAAACCAGGTTAAAGCCGAGATGAGAAATTGGCAAGGGGGAGCCATTGACATCTAATAGCCCTCCGTTAAAAAAAATTGAAAAGTATGTACTTCTTTTGCAGTTTCTTTCAGAAATAAATGAACTAGAATTTGGATTTAAGTCAGGACCATGATATCTAAAGGTGGGAACCCAGCCTTTAACAGCTTAATTTTTCTCATGGTATCTAGAACCGTGTGATGCCATCTTGTAATCAATAGCCTCACTGTTCAAATGGGGAGGGGGGTGCTGCAGGCCCCTTACCAAAGCCACGGCCCTCGTGCAGACAGTCAGGACCTCAACTCTGCTGTGGGAGTAGACTGTAAACCCACAGAGGCCAGCAGCCTTTTCCTAACTGTGATTATAGTCACCACTGAGCTTTGGTCTGGTTCCCAGGTGAATGACATGATAAGTTGCATAAACTATTTTCCCCATGAGACCTGCTCAGTAGCTTTGTAGTGTGCTGTTCACTGGTCTGTACCTGAGTTTTTCTTCCCTTCCTGATACAGACAAGGAACACAGGCACCGAGGCCCTGCTATGTGCCGGGCACTGTGCTGGCCCTTCACAAACATGAGTTGCTCCACCCAGCTCTGCCTTCTGTTGTGTCACAGTTAGGAGTGCAGAGGTCAAGGGGACTCTG